GTTCGAATTCAAATCGTTCCGATAATTTCAAATCGTAGCACGGAGAAAACTAATTTTGCTAGTACAGGAAATTGTTTATCAATACAGTGACAGCAAAAAAGAATTTGCTTAAGCTCTGCACATTTCTGACTGATATCTATTATAAATTTTCTAGCACTTAGCACGCCATTTTCCTCGTGGCGATTTTCTCAAAACTATGCAGTAACTAATATTTTTAGTTATTTGAAGAAAGGTTTTTAATATCATTAAAAGTACTTATCATATTCAGATTGCAGCATGTTATGTAAATCTCGGAAAATCTGATTCGCATTCGACTCACATTCGAATTAAAGAGATTCGATTTGATTTGAACATATTATCAAACATTTGATTCGGTTCGATCAAGGAGATATTTAATTCGCACATCTCTACATGTTTGCGTATTAATCGAATATAAAAGACATTCGTGTCTACGTTGTGCTATAAAATTTATTTATTTATTTATTTAACTTCATTATGAGCAAAAGTCGAAATTTTGCGTAAAAATATATTAATGTATTAATTAAAACTGCACGTTGGATGCACGTTACCGATGCGGAATATTATTGACAATATCCAATGGCGTAAATAAGGAAGAAACTACAATCGTCTGTTTACATTTCCTCGCCGAAGATATCGTTGTCGAGACTTTTCGGTTGTTGTAAGGAAAGACTTTGTACTGACGATTTGGAAAAGTAATTTGATACGGACCGATGGTGCACGCGGACGCGCACGTTGTGAAAAATATTTTTTTTCCGTCGCGAGGTCCAGGAATCCGTGACACCGTGGCCAGTTTTCATTGGCGGACGAAGAGAAATCGCGAGGCAACAATCGAGTTTTGTGCCCCGAAAGTTTATCGTCCGACGTCACTATGAATCATATTGATTAAACAGGGAGAACTACGTATCATCGTACGTAATAATTTAATAAAATGCAGATTGCTCGCGGCATGAGACGCATATTGCCGAATTTATCGTGCGCCTCTTTCTTTAAAATAAATCCAGAGCGCCGTGACGTGGCAAAACGACGAAAGAAGCGCTTATCCCGTAATTACGCTTATTTATTTATGTTAGCATATATTTACACAAAGTAAATGCCTGCAAATCATCGTGAAATTATCCGCTCTCTGGCGTAATTAAGAGTTCAAATTAATGTTTCTTTTTTTCGTTTTCGAGGAGTTGGCTCACGTTCCCGGGCGGATTCTTCTTCGTTTTTCCTCGTAGCTCGATCAAAGATGTCAATAAGACATACAAAAAGGGAGAAATGAAATCTTACTCTGTGTTTCATCGAAAAACCCATTTATTTCATGGAATAAATATTCTTCTATCTATGTTGCCTACCTAGGAAGTACACATTATACATATAAGTATGCATTTTTCTGCCGTCCTCATCCATATATTGGGAAGATACATAATTCCATTAGTTTTTAATTATCGGTACATTGACAAACAAAGTTTGAGGCGCGGGATATAGACGGGATAGATAAGGAGAAACAAGGGGAAGAGATCGTCGGGGGAAAAACGTGATCGGGGCGATCGGGAGAAACGGCGAGAATGGGAGGATAGAGGACAGCTTCGACACGAGAGGGACGAATTACAAAAGAATCGATTTCTCGAGGAGCTTTCCCTTACTTCCTAATGATCGCTTTATAAAAATTGCAAAGTTTATATGTGTGTGTGTGTGTGTGTTTTTTTCTTACTTGTGTGTATGTGTACGTGTGATTTCTTTTCCTTTACAATCACATAAAGTTCAGGGACGGTGCGCAAGTCGATCGTGTATCGTATATTATTTTACAAAATGTAGCTACAGTGCACTTGACTCGAAGCCGAGGGAAAAACGTGGAATTGGGTGTTACTCCGACAACGATTAGATGCGTTTCAAGCGTGTTCCCGGATTTTGACGATCGCTATACAGTGAGGGATTGAAAAACCGACGGAAGCTCGATGAGTACAATTCTCTCGAGGTTGCGAATCGAAAACAAAGAAAGGAAGAAAGACGAGATTCACGTCGACTGTCGCGTTTCCGCGGTCGCGCGGACTAACCACGGAGATCTGAACTTATCGAAGTCACGTCGGTCTCAACCGCTATATTTAACTGGAACTGTGTTCAACCCTTTCGCGACGGCGGAGTTGGCCGCCACTGCGCTACCATTGTACGGGAGAACGAGACGCGAGCGTGCATTATTACGGCGGACAGAGCTCACGCAGAGACAGAACGGAGCTCTTCAGGCCATAATTTCATTTCGATATTGCTTTCGTCATTAGCAACAATAGACTAGTGTGCAACAATTCTTACACACGGAAGTCTTGCGAACGGTCACTATAGCAACTATTCGTCACGAAAAGGTTAAACGTCGGGGATACGTCTATACGTGTGTTGTAACACTGACCTTCTCCGTCGTCGTGACATAATTAATAGGAGCGGGTCAGGAGCGCGGGTCTGTACGGAAACCGATGAAACTCACTGCCTCGGGCGAGCACCGGTCGGGAGAAATCATATCTCCCGAGGATAATTGTCGACTTTCCTTTTAATCACGTTTCTTTCGATTTTATATCGCACGGAGTGAAGGAGGTACACATTTAAAACGCAAAAAGCAGAACGAAAACGTCGTCCGTCTCCGGCGTAACAACCATGCGCGCGCATCTCCCGACGCGTTGAAGTACAACTATTAATACCATAAGTTATTAGAAAAGCTACGTAAACCGGGCGTCTTTCTTGGCCCATTGCGCACGCAACATTCACCCGTCCAGAAAAAAAAAAAACGCTCAGTATTTGTTCCGCGATCGCGCGTTATTAACCGGGGTGACGGGAACGTGAATGAAATTTGCCGTTGTCGCGGTGTGTATATAAAAAGAAAACGGTCCGCGATTGGACGCGTGTCAGGCCGCACGCGTGGCCGCAACTTGCTCGGAGCTGTACGCGTTCGTTGGAAAAAGTCGGGGGCTTTTCCGCCGATATATGAGTAACATCCTCGTGAGGCCCCACCGGGACCCGGGGATCTTCAGCAAAGCGACGCCACACCTACTTGTTTATACGACATAATTATAATTATTTACATAACTCGACACTCTCTCTCGCACACGCACTCACACAATTCGCTAAAAAACGGTCAGAATGACAGAAATATATTTATAATATAGTAGAAAGACGAGGGGGAGAGGGGGGACAGAGGAGGACAAAACGTTCGAAAAAAACAACGATTTTTTTGTTTACTGTACACCGAGATCTTTTGGCCAACACGTCTTCACCGATCGTCGAAGCCCTCGTCGTCGGGTGACGACGTCGTGCATCTTGCTTCCGATAAAACGTGGAGGCAAGGGATGCACTTCTCTCGGCCGGATCGGTATCCTTCGTGGTCGATGCGAAACATCGCGAACCGGGGCGCGATAGCGAAAAGTTTCAACAAAGCTTTGTACTTGCTCGTCGCAGAACCACGCCGGGATTCCGCAATTGTAACACTCGCGGTTACGATAGGCCGTGTGAGTGTCATAATTACGCCTCGGTCGGCATCACCCGCCTTCGGGGAGCGAAAGATTTACCTTCAGGCAATCCCGCAACCCAAGGTCGCTGTGAACTCGTCCGGATCGGGTGCAAACGTGTCGGCGTCTTAAAAATAATAATGACTCTAGGAACTATCCGCCTTGCCGTGGACTATACACATTAAAAAATAAATCGTCAGTTTAAACATTTTTCGTATATTCCAGAAAGTCCATTTTAGATTTCGTGTTTTAAAATAACACGTTCCTTGTGTGTTACTTCTTAACACACTAAACATGTTAATTATAATTAACTGTAAATTAAATTAATTAACTGTAATAATTAACTGTAAATTAAATGTAAATAATATGTTAAAATAAATAAATGTTACATTTTAATATTTTAATTCATGAAGAACACATTTTTCACCATGTTATATATTGTCTCGATTTTATGTTCTTTCTATTGCTACCGTGACTACTGACTGCGCAGTGCTGTTTACAATTCTCATGTTATATTAACATTGAAATGAAATTACTTTAAATTATTCGTAATAGAACATTTGGTTTTAATCAACTTGACTATTTCATATGTCCAAGTTTACGACTTTATTTGAAAATGTTAAAATAGCTTTAAAAAATGTCGATCTCCTAAAATAATTATATAAAAATAACTCAAAATGGTTCATTTTTTAATGAAATTCCACAAAAATATTAAATTATTAAATTGACATAAATTTAACACATGAAAATCATCACGAAAATAATAACATATGAGCTTTGTGTTAATTTGACATTGAAATTTTAGTAAAAAGTCGATAACGCAAGAAAATTTTAACATTTGTACAACAAATTTTTTATTGTGTATGGACCACCGTCGAGATGCCATTCGCTGACGATGCGAGCGAGTCCTTCCTTTCTTCTTTCCTTCTTTTCTCGACTCCCTCGACATCCAGCACACGCAGTCTTCGAGGATTCCCTGGTGAATTACCAGTGGAGCGTCTACCTATTCACGCGCACTCTCATTCTCGCGTTCACCCCTCATTCGGGTTCCAAAGAGAGATCCACGTCACCCAACACCACTCTCCGTTCCGACTCGTTTTCCGAACAAGGCACTTTTAGTCTATCGGATGAGGAATCGCCGAGGACACGACGACGATTAACAGGGACCACGACGACTATCGTCGGGATTCGAGGTCCGATCGGCGGGAGATCATCATGTCGCATAGTGGTTCAATTTGCAAATCTAGCGGGACAAAGTTATTTATGAGAGAAAAATTCGGAAAAGAAATTGGCAAGATATCTCTATTTTTTCACTAAATTTAATAACTAAGCGAAATAAAATTAAGATTAAAATATATATCTGTCTACAGACAGGTATGTATTTCATAATCTTAATTGTATTTTTATTATTAAATTTAGTGAAAAGATAGAAGCACTTTGCTAGTTTCTCTTTATATATTTTTTATATAACGTTATGAATTTGTGAGAACAATAAAACTTTTGTACACCTTTATATATCATGAGAATGGTTTTATTTTATAAAATCATTCGTGTAGATCTAATTGATGGTAGCTTAATGTGCTTTTTTTCATGAACTTAATAAATATATTCTTTCTTTTGCAAGTAGACAATTTCACGTTAGTAGGAGAGAGCTGTTTGACCGGCTGAAGAGTTGCGATTTTAAATTTCATTAATGCTCCTGATACAATAGTCATTTTTTGAGGCACATAGTGATTTGACACTTCCGACTCTGATTAGCTACGTATAATATTGATCATAATAAATTTTAGTGTTTTAATGTTTCCCTTTATTGTACATGGTTTTTTTTTTACATAAACAATATTACATAAATTATAAACACGACTTTGTTTCCTCATAAATATTGTCCCGCAAAATTCGTAAATAAACCACTGTGCGTCGAGATGTCGTTTCGTGCGACACTCTCGGCGTCGTCCCCGTCAGGTTCATTCTTTCGGGCTCGAAGGTGGACTATGAACATCCGCAACGCTCAACGACCATGCCCGGCAACCGCGAGAACACGATCTGGTACTCGTTGTCGAAGTACAGCATCGTGATTTCGGACAGCTTCCTGGGTGCGCAGCACGGACCGGTGTTGTTCGGCGGTTCCGCCAAGCCGACGATGTGCGTGACCGGATAGGCCGGCAGAAAGGCCATCGGACAGTCGCCCGAGCAGTAATTGGCATCGTATCTGCGACACAAAGATTTCGGGGACCGATCGTTAGTGCGCTCTCTTCGCCGACTGATTCGCGTTATTGCTACGCTCGCCGTTAACGACTGATCCCGCACGAAGCTGATCTCTTTAATCAGGCCGATTCTGAAAAGTCCGATCGTAAAAAGCGAGAATACGAGAGAGACGGTCAAGGTTGTAGCGACCGCTCGCATAGAAAATCTCATGGGATCTAATTGAGATCCCAGTCCGATTTCCTACAATGATGGATTCTAGTTGGGACATCTTTCGGCTGGAAGCATAATGTTGCAAACGTACGATTCTAAGTGGAAACATCATTGGATTCGCTTCCAATGTTTTCTTAAATATTGCTTCTGGTTTCCATTTTACACTACGATTTGCCCGCTTTAGTGTTATCGTCCGCAGATTTCGAGAGAATATTCCGTACACGAAATATATCTGTACGAGCGTCGTTGTCGCTTAACGGAAAATATTTACAAATGGAACGTGCGCAGTTTAACATTGTTGACGTAGAGCTACGTTTCTACGTGCCAACGTGAAAGCCACGTTTTCCCCGTTAAGACCGCGTTTCGTTCAAACATTTCCCGTCCGCCGGGAAAATCTTTACGAGTACGTGCTCAACCACCCGTGCATTAATCGCCTCGTGAGCAATAATACCGCTCTCGCGAAAAGACGCACGTCTGGAATATTTTGCTAAGCGTCCCCCGCGAAGCGTAACGCGCATTCACGAAAATTCGCGGGAACTATTTTACCGCTTTTCATGAAACATCTTGTCCAGTCGTCAAACACGACTCGGAAAATCGCAATTCATGATTCTCGTATCAAGCGAGTAAAATTTAGACGTGCGATAAGGACGTAGGCCAACACAAATTGGCGAAGCGAGCTTGAGATAAAGCGCGATCGGCTGCTTTTCCGTGATCGATCAAAGAGATAGATAGATAAAAGCGTTTATTGATCAAGGCAAACTCTTTAAGAACGATACAGGATAAGTTTATGAATTGGCCATAGTTATGCAAGGATTCAATCTACGTGGAATACATTTTGAGAAAAATGAAGATGAAAATTTGATACATAATTTGAAAAGTATAAATAGTACTGAAGTCTTCACAATTATGGCCTAGTGACAAATTTAAAGTCAAATTAATTATTAATATAATACTAGTAAGCAAGAGAGAAAAAAGAAATCTATCATAACGAATAATTTTATAGTGCAATAAAAGGAAAATATGCAAGAGATACACGGAGAAAATATTATAGTTAAAATTACCACTAAATTTTGTAATTTGTTCAACCACACCGGAATTATAATTGAAATTATGATGGCCGTTGCAATCTTTAGTGACATATTTCATTGTACATACCACTAAAGACTAGATAATAATTTCATAATTTCGTAATGTTATAATCCCGGCATGGTCCAACATAAAATTTTCTGATAATTTTTACTACAATATTTTCTCTGTGTAAACTGTATTTGCGCGGTAGTTAAACATTTTATTAATATGCTTGTTATGAGGATAACCCTCTTAAATGATTGGAAAACCTGAACTTAAATTGCCCGGTCGAGTCAGAAGTTTTAATCTCAGAAATCAGAGAGAGAGAAAGAGAGAGAGAGGGAGAAAAAGCTCTCACTTTTTGGGTGCGATTATCCAGTCCCAGCCGAACTTCTCGAAGTCCACCGTCAGCTTGTACCGGCAACACCTGGTCTCCTGGCTGCTCTCGTCGCAATTCAATCCCACGTTCCGCTTGATCCTGGAGCCCCGTCGCGAGTCGAGCTCCTGCGTCTGTACTTCGAGATACGGCGCGTGCTCCGCTCCGGGATTGGTCTCGACCAACCAGGAATTTCTGCGATGAGTGCCATCAGAGCCGATGACCTTCAACGCCACTCCCAGATTATCCCTGGGATGTTTGAACCACTCGGCCACCATTCGTCTGAGCTCGATCGTTACCCAAATACCCCGGCGGCCGATCGGCCGAGGGTGCTTCGTGGTAAAGGCTGGCCCTAGCTGCGGCTGACCCGACTCGCCCGCACCACGAAGGATCCTTTGCAACGTGATCGTCACCACTTCGTAATTCTTCGTGTTCTCCAAGCCGAGCGGCTCGCCAAGCTGCCCGCCTTCCTTACTCGTGCCCCATATCCACAAGGATAATTCTGCCCTGGTGACACGATGCTGCACCACTTTGTCGGAGAACTTGAAGTATAACACGTCTAGGTTGCCGTTCTTCCAGTGCCTTAACCTTTGATCTGAAAGCAGCAAGAGTTCACGATTGTAAATCGTAATATCGCTGACAGAGATCGTTCATTTTTCTCGCACCAGCGAACAAATCGGAAGATCATCTTGCGTGATTTCCGAGTTTTCCGAGTTGATCGAATCGATAGATTTAACATTCGTCGCAAATTCGCGGAGAAAAAAATCCCAAATTTACATATTTTGATATGTATAAAAACGTGGAGAAGGGGGAGGAGATTTCGAAAATGTTCACACGTAACGAATTACGATTTCATTTGGTTCGAGAAAAACGTTAATTCAATGTATACATTTATTTATTACTATTAAAAGTTAGATTCGCACAAATCGAAAATCTCATTTATTGACAAAGTATAATCGTCCGCGATACGAAGTGATTTCTTTTTCCTCGATGTTGTCGAACGCGGAGCGGTTTGTTTATATACGACTTGCCAGTTTGTTCTCGAAGTATCGGAGAATTTATCGTACTTTCTATTAAATCGTTAAAACCATCACGATCGTGAATACAATGTAATGAAGAGAAGCAAAGTGAAATAAAATGCAACCGACTTGCTTAGACCCGAACACCGCAGAATATCAACGCGCAATGGTGAGTGTACAATCGGAAAGCTCACAAAGCGTCATGTTAAATTACGTAGTGTATGCACTGTTTAGATGTAAATCACATTAATTACCCGAAAAATCACTGTGCGAGCGGTGACATTACGAAATTACTCGGAGAAGATTAAGATTAAAAGATTTATGATGAATCGCACGTGGTATAGCCGCGCTTTCGAAGAATATAATTAATTATATATTATTAGATGTAAATTGAGGAAAAATCGCGCGACAAAGGAAACATGTGCTTAAGTGACGTTTCTTTCGTCCCGCGCGGCGAAAAGCAAGATTCGCTATTGCATAATCTTCGTTCTTAATATAACTTACTCTTCGGAGTGTAGCTGCTTCTCATGATCTTTTTATTTTCACACATAGTTGATCGCGATTACTTTGTGTTATAGTAAATACATCGACATATGATATGTGCCGATATAATTATGTTGGAAAATTCCTAATAGAAGATATATACAGTCACGTCGATGGCGGACGCGCGTGATAAATGTCGTTTCATCGGGAGAACATCCGTACGTGGATGCATCTCGTCTTATCTTCAAGATACACGATATCTCATGGCTAGATCGTAGCGGCTATATTATTTGTGAATGAAGAGACTTTTATTAGCTAATACTACGTATATCGAGCGGATACTATACGGTTTGATAAAGAATATCGCGGTATCTGCTATAAATATATGTGTCGCGACGCTGCTTTTAAATATAAAATCTCGCTGCGATGTTTAACACGCTCTTATAATCTCCGAATGCTATCTGCGTATCATACGCAATACGCTCGAAAATAAAACATGTAAAAACCGGCTCGGATACCGTTTCCGAAGCAAACACACTATATAGATACAGATAGACACAGATATAGATCGCATTGCAAATAACTACATTTTTCAATTTACCAGATAAAATTCGAGTATTTTCGGCGCGCCGCGCGGTTCCTCGAAATATCGTAACGTGTGGAAAATTATCGCGATATTCACGCGATCAAGTTCGCAATAGCGAAAGTTACTGTATAATTGTAGATCCCTGTATTTTGTTCCCGCGACCGATCGCGATTGTGAGAGAGTTCGCGAAAAACCACGTGCAATTGCGCATCAAAATAAATTGCATAAGAAACGATGCGACCGCGATTGCGTCGATTATCGCGTTATAACCGGGGATTATATATTAACGATCACATTGAAGAAAGAAAGAGAGAGAGAGAGAAGGGAGGGGGAGGGAGAAATCTAACGCACTGGAGGACGACGCGTGGGTCTACGTGCCTGTGTGAATAATTATTTCTAATTGGCCGATAACGCGAGGCGAAAGCATGAAGCGATAAAGCCGGCCTGTTAGGAAACACTGTTGCAAATTGCGAATATACGAAACTAATCGATATATAATACGTGACTTTCTACGATTAATACGATTCTACGATATTCAGCCTTATAACGACGGCATAATGTCGCGATATCTTGCGCGATTTGAATTTTTCTTTTACGAATGACGTGGGGTGGAGAGAGAGAGAGAGAGAGAGAGAGAGAGAGAGAGAGAGAGAGAGAGAGAACTAACTATACACGCGATCGTACAAGCAAGTGTGGACGAACCGCGCGACAGGCTTCCTTCTTCTTTAAAATAAGTTTATCAGAGCGCGCGATACTTCCTCCGCCGAGATCGCGATACTTTCCCGGCCGCGCTCGAATCGAGAGGCATTCTGCGGTCTCTCGATTTTCCTTTTCGCTTTTATTCGCTCATTCCGACTTAACGGCGCCGCGTGAAGTGCGCCTCGCGCACGAGGATCGTAATTTCATTAACGACGTGAAATCTCCGATGTTACGTTATCGACGGGATATCCCCGGCAAATCGAAAACATTGGCCGATTATCCGTGCCGTCCTTTCAGCTCTAACGACCAGATATCGCGAACGCATCTCCGGTATCGATGTTACCTTGAAGCCGCTCGGCGGCGCTTAAATCGGAGGTATAATCATTGATAACGCAGAAACTATTTCCGTCGGGTTGTGCGTTCCCTCCGATTAAAAATATCCAATGATAAAACGCGCGCCGTTTTTCCTCACGCAATTCCCCTTTTCCTCGAGTGGAGTAAAGACTTTACGGCTTGACGCATCGCGATCCCGCGGATGCGCAACACCTTGAGCGTTTGTGTCACGGATTTCCGCGTTGTACGTACGTTTCAACAAATGAATTTTGCTACTCTGTTTACGTAGTAAACAATTTTGCGATAAACCCAATACATTTCACATGTCCCAAACGGTCACTCAAATTTTTGTGTTAATTTTAAATGTCGACACACAAGGTGAATATATGTTAAAAAGCAAGACAAACATCATGTCGAAAATTAACGCAAAATTAACACGTTAATCGACACTGAAGTATAAAGTATGTTATTTTAATACTGATATATGTTAAATACCGACATAATTCAAAATATTGACATGTGCGGGTGTGAAGAATGAGCGGGTTGGAAATTTAACAGAAAAATTTTAACAAGGACCGTTTTTAACACAAGTACAAAATGTTTTCTCACTATGTATCCGTTTCACTTTTGCCCTCCCGTGACAGCTTCGCGTAAAGAGTGAACAAGTTGACGAATTAATCCCATGTCAGCGAAGTTGCGAATTTGCAAAGCTCTCCTATCGTTTCCCGATACCACAGTGCTAATTGATATCGCTTTGTTCCGTCCGTCAGTTATTCCCAGCTTCCGCCAGAGAAACCCACGGAGTTTCACGGCGAGCTGTACCGAGCCGCGGAACGACCGGCAAGGCAAAACCTTAGGAGACGTACGACGTGGCCGGTTTTCAAAATAAGAGGAGATCTCCCTTCGGCTTAGAAAATCTTCCGGCGATACGCCGGTGATGTCGCGCTCGCGCAAAAACGCTTCACAAACGCCCGCGCAGGGCTTCCTCGCGCTGTTCTCGCGATCGAGGGGTGGCCCGAAGAGGAGGGGGGATCGGCAATAAATCAGGAAGAGAGCTCGGCGAAGTCGTCATCGGGTTTCTTGTCGATCGAGCGCACTCACGCACACTCTGCACGCACGCACGCACGTGCGCGATATGACCGACGTTAAACTCGACCCTGAATATCCGCGGATCGATCGATCGATCGATCGGCGAGGGGACCGAAGGAAAAAGAGAAAGAGAGAGAAAGAGAGAAGGAGAAGAAACACACACGCAGAAGCGGCGGCAGGCAGGAGGCAGATTTATACACACGGTGAGCCGGGAGGAGACTCTATTCAGGTCATCGGCTCGCGGTGAGGCCGCTTCCACGAAGGGTAAAGCCACCTCAAATCGTACCGTTATACGCGAGCGACGTTTTTCTCCCGATCGATCAATCAACGATCGGTCGCGTATCGATAGCCCGACGCGACTCCGCGCACGTCTTCTTCTAAGCCGGCTAGCTCTCGTCCTGGTATTCGACTGGTTCCCTCGCACTGTCGCGCGCAAGAAGTTTTCCGTGAAACTTACGAATGCACGCCACTTGGCCAGCGTTTTCCGACTCAGCTCGCGATAGGTGGTCTCGGGACGAGACCGCGTCGGGAAAATCGGTCCGTACCGAGTGATCTCTTGTAGAAGCTGGGTGTATAACCACGAGGTGATCAATTTGCGTCTAAAGTCGCGGTTAACCGGTAATGTAACGATCACTTCTCCCAGCAGCTTGATAGGGGAGAGTTGCTCCCAATTCATATCAGTCATCTAACTTGACTTTATCATGTTTTTCTTCAATTATTGAATATAAGCACGATCCAATGATAATTATATGAAATAAATGAGCAATTAAAAGCAACGATAATTTGAACGCATTGTGCCTTCTGTGTGATATAAACACTTGAAAAATACTTTAAGTGGTGCGATTAAGTAGTAGCACGATTTTGGCAACTCGCCACGATCTAATGGCCGGATAAATAAGTTCGCTGGAGGTTAAAAGACGTGGTAATTACGAGATGAAAAATCGCATAACTAGTTGCCAAGCAGCGATGTAACTGTAATGTACCGTATTTGAGTTTCGCCCTGATTTTTCGAGCGAAAATATTAAAACGTAAAAATATAAAATCAGCTCTACCATTCCGCCACTATCGTGCGCAGTGGTACACCCTCGTCTTCTTACATTACCGGTTGGATCATAAAATCACTTCAATATTTTAGCGATTAATCAGTCAATAATGAATCAGTAACGAGAAGCGTAAGAATGATTGCCCTAAGATAAAAAGAGCGCATCGTACTCGGTAGCTACGAATTCGCAGCCTCGAATTATTCATTCAGCGCTGATCGCAACGCGATCGAAACTACGGACGGCGCATCCGCGAGTATTCGCGCGGTTAATGAGAGCCAATGGGCTCGCGGTCTCGAATATTTCTTCGCGCCGGCCGTCGTCACGTCCGTTTATTAACGATATC